TGTGCAATCATGACATAAAAATTAGGTACAAAATGACAAGTTTATTAGCTTGCAAAAACTTTTTTTTTTTTTTTTTGCCGAACATCCGAACCAGGCCTTTGTGTTCGGTTCGGTTCGGTTCGGTTCGGAAGTGCCATGTTCGGCGAACTTCCGTTCGGTTCGGCGGTTCGGCTACAGCACTAACTGTAACACAAGGTTAATGCCCTTCTGGCTCTCAACAGATGATTTTTCTTGGCCTATAATCACAACTTACTGGTAAATTTTGTTTGCCATTTAACAAATTTTGGTATGATGTTTATGATGGCCTTCTATGTCCAAGGAAGAGGTTACTGTGAACAAAGAAGGAAAACAAAAAAGTTTTTTCTCTCTCTGTCCCTCTCTCTCCCTGTCCCTCTCTCTCTCTCTCTCTCTCTCTCTCTCTCTCCTTTGAGATTACAATGTATGTCAAAATAAGCTGAGAAAGAGGACAGTGTTTGTTTTCAGGAGGGATTTTACTTTGGACTTTGAACAGTACATTTTGACAACTTTTATGACAGAATTAGATCCAATCTAAGGCTACATTACAACCTGCTTGACACGAGACATATTTGCAGTTACAATAGAAACCATGTGGGTTTCTGTACCTGTGTGTGACAGCCCACAGCCTCGGTTTATGAATACAGTACATACTCATAGCACAATATCTGTGAATAAATATATCTTGGCCAGCTATATTTAGTATGGCAGCCATCTTAGAAGAAAAAAATATTTAAAAATGGCAAAATAGTAAATAGTAATGCACTGCCTCCTCCTTTTTTGAAAAAGTTCGGACGAGAAGCTCATTATTTTTGTTATTGGGTCTAATACAGACATGATTGCTTTTCCTGTACAACCAAATACCCCAAGGGCACTCCTTGTGTACATCAGGCCTGCAATCTGTATCAGCTCATCCCTGTATTCTATTTAATACTTTATGTGAAACAATCTGGATGTGCATGCATGCTGTATACATAAGACAGGTACATTTTCAGTGCAGAGATTGAGGCTACAGGGAAAGGGAGAGAGAGGGAGGGGATGGGGGGGGGGGGGGACTTCTGGCCTTACCCTCTTCTTATCTGCTTTAAAAAAAAACATTAGGCATATTCATTTGTTTTATTTTTACATGAAATACCAAATAGGAGGTTTAGAGGAAACGTAAAAAATGAAGTACCATACATTAATTATAGTATAATTTAAACTTCTCTAGATTCTCTTTTGACCTGTATAGTGCATGGATACCAGTAATTGACCTGTATAGTGCATGGATACCAGTAATGTTATGAAATTGACCTCCAAACAATGTATGTACTACAGAAGAAAAAAAAATAGAAATGTAAAATTACACTGAATATTCTCCTCTATTGAAAAAATAAAAACAAACAAAACAAAATTTAAATATTTATTAGAGTAGGAATCAATTGTTTTGGTGAAAAAGGATTGATAGTACACTTTGAGTGTCTTGTATAAAAATCATGCTGCAGTGTAGCCACATACATGTAAGTACTTGGAGAGTCCAGTGGTCTGATATCCAACCCCCTACCAACAAGTGGTGTTATTTTTGGAGGTGTAAATTACCTCTCCTTGGAATAGCTTAACCCAGATCTTGCTGGAGGGCATGTGACCTCACTGAGGACAAGGGAGTCAGGGGGAATCCCCATTGTGATTTAAGGTCAGGTTAAGGTCAAATAGCTACCCTACCCATTCTGAGTAGTCTAACTCCCTGACACAGTTATGTTAATTTTCCATCTCAGAAAAATGAGGCATTTTGTTGTTGGATGATTATGGTGATGATGATGGTGATGATGATGATGATGATGATGATGATGATGATGATGATGATGATGGTGATGATGATGATGATGGTGATGATGATGATGATGATGATGATGATTATGAAATTCGTTGTTGCTGCTGGTGCTGGTGCTGCTGCAATATAATGAGTTTTCAATTATATTTTCACTTTTATTTATCATTATGGTTAGCTGATGGATTATGAACTCAATGTAACAGTGATCAGTGATACAAAAAAGTTGTTCTTTTAAAATCTAGACCATTATAAAAGAAATTATGGAAAATGATGCAAGGTATCTTGTAAAAAACATGTTAGATCATCATGTTGACTTTCTTCCAAGTTTTTTAAAAGCCAACAAGATCAGACCCTCTGTCTATGGCAGAGAAAATCTAAGCAATCAATTTTCCACACCAGCCAACTCCATAATGCATTGCTGCTTGTTTGTGGTCCAGTAGAGGGCATGTGTAAGAAAGCTATCTTTGTCAACACTGTGTGTAAAGTAAAGGGGTGTTGTTTGTGTATCGAAGTGTGAGTATTGCCAGGGAAAGGGGCAAGGTGATTTTCTCCTTGACTTCTCTTAACTTCCATTACGCTGGTAATATGTCTGAATCACAGTCTGGAATGGCATGAAATTACCATTTTTACAATACCCAGGGCAAAAGCTTTGAAGTGTGATTGAAAAGATAAGACAAATTCTCTTATCCTTGCATTGGTTTATTATTAATATTTGAACTTTTGAAGCCATCTGTTGTCTGATATTAAGACAAAATTAATATGTACTGGTAGAATGATTTTTCTTAAATCACAACATGTACAGTGTAGTACATTATTCCACATTAATGTGATCAACAGCTGCACACTGCAGATAATGTGGAACACATACATTGTGTAGACATACAGTAATGCACAAGGATGTTGTATTGAAGTGTCTTTATAGCGCCAGGTTGGTATAGAGCTTTCATAAGATTGTACTGGTAGAGTATGTGCATGTACAATGTAGGCCTACCAGCAGTATTATGCAGTTTTAGACTTTCATAAGCAATTAATAAAACAGGAACCTAAACATTATTATGCAGCTCCAGCACTTCAAAAGCAATTAAATTACAGGAACAAGGAACAGGAACAGGAACAATCAGCTGTATTAGTTGGAAAGCCAAATTTTATTTGGAAATGTGGAAATATAATTTAATGGTGTACAGAGAAACCTGCTTTAGTGACCACCTGTACAGAAGCACCACCTGTCCATACAGACCACATCATTTCATTTTTCCTTACAAATTATTTGTAATTGATACCTGTACTAAAGTAACCTTTCAAAAAAGTTTCAATGAAGATCACCTGGATGTAAAGAATCCTTGAGTGCTCTTTCCATTCGTGCTTCTGACTGTACTAGAAAATTCTTGAAGCATTGAATCATTGTGGTTGATCAATCAAGTGAAGCTATTTGTACAAATTTACCCTTTTAAGAAGTGACTGTTTGTGACCTGTCATTGTTCATTATAAGTCATGATGGAAAGCTAGCTAGGGTCCAAATATTTGTGATAGAAAATGACTTATGATCTGAATTCCCAGTCCAATATATCAGAAAATATGCCATGATTTTGCATATACAGTGTATATTGCAAAACATCAGTATGAAATTTAATTTTTGAAAGAGCCGAAATCGAAAATGCTAATCAGGTTTAACCATGACAGGCAGGTAACTGTTTCAACTCAGGCCCTATTGAATATAATTTCAATTTAGTCTTCAAACGCTTCATATTCATTCAAACATTCTTGAGAGTTCAACATTCTATCAGCTGTGAATAAGGAGACTATAAGAATATATCTGCCCAATGCTTAATACACAATTTAAAAGATGCAATATTGTAACATTCATCCATGAAAGTACATGTATCTTTGATATCCCGAAATATAGCAGCTAGTCAATTATTTATATATCAGGTATATATTATTTTTAGATCATTTATTTTGTAGTATGGAAATCTCTGTTAAGCTCTAAGATTTGAGAAAAGTTAAATATTTGGCCATATTCATAATTTAATAGTAATAATAACGGTAATAATATATGAGATTTGTAAGGTGCTAAATCTACAGTGTACTTGAAATCAAATGCTCAAGCCACACTTAGTTTAAAGCCAGAGCCAGATAAAGGTGTTAATTCCTCTACTTTAACAGAGTCAATGCCCCTCTGACCCTATACAGATGATATGCAGTTGATTTACAAGACATACAATGTAATGCATACCTTAAAGAAGGCCTATGAGTGGGCCTAGGAGTGGGGAAGGGGCAAGGGTAAAGGGGTGACAGAAGGAGGAGAGGGGTAAAGGAGGAAATGAGGGAGGAAGACGTTGATGAAGAAAGGAAGTTGAGAGATAAGTAGGACGTCAAACAAAGGTCAAATCCCAGGTCTTCATCTCTCCAGTGCACAAAGACTGATGATGGATAAGATCATAACAAATATATACACAGACGTGTACATGTATGTACATGTAGCTTTATTTCCTCTGTCTATTGTTTTTTTAAAATTATTTATTTATTTTGGGGTTCCTCGAAATCGCATGGGAAATCACTAATTTGTTAATAGTGTGACGTATCTTACGAGCTCCTCTCCAATTTGCTCTGTACAGAAAACTTTATAAACTTCATTTTCTTGGTTATTTATGACGAAATAGATTTGTTTCATTCAGGGGTTGTATAAAAACACATTTTCAATAATTATATTTTATAGGGTAAATTTATGAGTGAAAAGTTTCTGAAGTGGAAATAATAAACATTTCGATTTTTTTTCTATTACAGGGTTAATGGGAGGGACCTTGCAAGATATATGTCACAGAGTTTCCACTTTGTGTTCGATTGACTGAACTTTAAAAGATCATAACTTTCCTATTTCTAAATGGATATTGCTCAAACTTCACTAATTTGTTTCTCTCATTTCTCTGCTTCTATTAAAACAAACTTCATATCAGGTTGAACTTCCGCTTTAATTAAGGGTACTACTCTATGGAGCTAGGAGCGCCAGGGTATAACACAAAAAAGTAAACCAGAGGTTCTGTTTACTGTATACTCTCCTGTATAGCAGGCAAGAATCTTATATTCTGTATGTGTATTATAACTGTAAAAACATTGTCTATAGATGAATGCAGCTTTTTTTTTCATTAATTTGATTGCTATTGTTCTTATTTTCCAGGTATCAAATGTCCAGTATGTTCCAAGTTTGTTGGTGCCGATAATATTGAACTTCATCTGCTTGCCTGCCTCACTAAACCCAGGATTGTATATAATGGTAAGAATGATATCATTTCTTGTAGTTTATGAACATGTACTGTGGGTTTTGTTGCCTTGAAAGAAAGAGCAGTACATTCTTTCTTTCAAACTTTGAAATAAAGAAAGAAAAGTGTTATCCCTTTTGTATATGAATATGTTCCTTATGCATGTAAGAAAGAATGCACATTCTTTATCTAGGAAATGCACTGCTGACAAGTGGTTATTCTACTGTTAAAGGAGATTTTTACATATCATGATATGATATCACTTGAGACAATTGAATACTATTTTTAATCTTATGTACATTCATATGCAATGTTTGTCTCCACAAATAGTTCAAAGGAACCTTTAGTTCACAAGTCCAATATCTAAACTGAAAGTAGGTTTTTATTCTTGCCCAGCAAACATGCCTTTCACATGTGACACCATTACAAAACTACCCCAGCAAGAGATAATGATATTGATCACATAAGTGTTGTGTGTTTCAAAAAGCTCACAATTTTTTTTTAATTATTTGCAACTTCAAAATTCATAGCTTTCTTATTCCCCTTTAAAGCTTATCTTGGAAGTTGGGCTCCGGTAAGGGAGTCGTTTGTCAAGAGAACATGGCTATAATTCATTCTGAATTGTTTACCTTGCAGTAGCTTGATTGTTTGAACCAGTAAAATTAAAACAAACTCATAAAAACCTCCTGGAAATCATCTTCAATAAAACACCACAACTCCCATTCGCACATGGTGTCGGGCCTGCTTACCCGTTTTCCTTATCTTTCTATGCTCATTACTGCCATTTACAGGTGTACCTGTATTATATATATGTCATTTATTTGTAATCTTGAACATTCAGTGTAAGTTTTCTTGGATTCTGTGAGAATATATTTTGTATATTTACCAGAACTCAAGTTTATCTTTAAAAAATGACAAAACTGAGTAAGGGTATGTAGTTAACTGTACTAACATCACTGGTATGTTTTGCTGTGGGAAGGTATTGTCATGTTGCATCATCTTGTTTTAAACCAAAAAGACTCTTGTGTAAATTTATACATGTATGTTGATGCCCTTCTGGCTCCAAACAGACAGTATGTGGAAGAAAAGAAAAAAAATTGAAATCGACCTTTAGATTTCCTCCTTATGAAAGCTGGAATAAATGATGGGTTACACAAGGTGTTCCACTCTTAAGTGCTATTAGTGATTATACAATCTGTCTACAACCAAAGTTCAGATTTGTAGGTTGTTAGGGATGATAGACCTGGGGGGTGTTTCATAAAGCTGTTCGTAAAGTTACGCATGACTTTACGAACGACTTGTATATGAAAAGCCAAATGGGGTGCTCAATCATTATTGATTATTATTTATCAAATTGAACTGTGCAGATGTAGATTAACATTCTTATTATAACAACCATTTTAATGCAAAGTATTTTTTTGGCCATAATTTAATTGAGGTTATTGGAAATATCAGAAAAAACTTTGGGCATCCTATCTGGCACTTCATATACAAGTCGTTCGTAAAGTCATGCATAACTTTATGAACAGCTTTATGAAACACCCCCCCCCCCCAGGATAGCAAGGGTTGTCTGCTTTATTAAAAAGCATACAGATATGGCCATGTGCTCCATTTGCTTCCCAATTCTTTTCTTTCTTTCTTTTTCATCAGAGGATTTATTTCACATTTGTATCTTACAAATCAATGGAACAATACACAAATGTCACAAAAGTTAACCCCAACATCAAATTGAGCTTGCACATATCAGTCAAATTTTCAGATGAAATACATTTTCCATGTGCATGAGAAATTATTTATATCTAAAACATGGATTGGACAACTCAAGCTCATCAAGAATGATTAAAGATTGAAGAGCCCTTCTGGCTCGAAAGTCTAATGCGATGATTAATCAGTTTATAATCATCTTGCATGATTAATAGAGTGAAAGGAATATCAAAGATGAGGAAAAGGGAGGATTTTAATGGTTTTATAGAAAATACTGCTTTACAGAAAATGATGTAGAATATCAAGAATGTATTATTGAAGTGCGAGAAGTCGAGCTAAAAAAAGAATTGAAGTTGAGGAAGATACGAGCTAGGAATGGGAAGAGAAAAATTAACACCAAGACCAAGAGAAGTAGAAAATATTATGCACAGGCATAAGGATAATTAGGAAAGTCATGTCAAAAAGGAAATCGTAATAAACCACTGCTTTGGAAAAATAACCACCAGATTCCGTGAAAATTGGAAACATTCATTCATGTGAAAATCATTTCCTTGTCATTGCCTTATCAATTCCGTTCATATTGGATTTTATTCCTCTTTATCTCTTTGATTCCATTGATTGTTCAGAGCAAGAGGGTATTAAAGGTAAAGACCAGTATTGGAAACGCCCCAATTTCAAAAAATGAAATGGAAGCTCTCATTACCAATCATGTGA